AATTCCCTAATTTTCCTATATAACCTTTGTGACAAATTAGGCAGCTCTGATTGAAGTACAGAGATGCCATGTTGGATTTTCAACAATGCCTTCAATGAGTCGGGGTTCGACATCAAGGAAGTTAGCTGAGGATTCTGTATCTGGTGACGATGAGAACGACGATGAAAAAATCACACCCACACACTACACACACACACATACACACGCACGCACGCACTCACACGCACGCACGCACTCACACGCAAACACACACAAACGCACTCACACGCACACAAACACGCATTAGTAAACAAAAAAACAAATTTTGACTCTATACACTTTCAATCCATCACCTAAGCAGTCAACCAAGCAAGCACCAAGCAAGCAAGCAAACGAGCCAGGCAATCAACTGACTTGTTGGAGGTAATAAGGCATCAGTGTAGATAGTTGCTGTTGTAGGTGTGGGTTGTTAGCAAACAGTGGATTGTTTACAATCATCTGCAGTGACCCAAAGAATATATGAATACAAAAATAATATAACGAAATAAGTCAATAAATACTAATATTTAATGAATAAATTACCAAAAATTAAAAATAAAATTTAGATTTTTAAACTTTTTGCTACAACAACCATCTGAAATTATTTTCAACCAAACATAACCAGCCTGACATAAATCCAACAAAACTCAGCTAATCACAATTAGCCAAAAATCACGCCCGACCAATCAAAACCTGTTGCGTCCACTGAGGATTAGCAACCATTCCGTCGACCATCGTTTTGTAATAGGGAGAGTCGAACATTTGTTGAAGTAGCGTCGGGTGCTGGGCGGTCATCCGCAGCATCGTCTGCGGTGTAGGGATGGACTGCGGATTGAAGACTACAGATGGGGTAGATTATTATTAAAAAATTAAACAATTATATGAATAAATTAATTAATTAATTATTCACCATTAATATGTTAATTAATGTCTAGCTTTTTTTTGAATTTGTCAGTAAGTCAAATGCTGTTAATTCATTCAATCACCTCTATCCATTTATCAATCCATCCAATCATTCATTCAATCTTTCATTCATTCAACCGCTTAATCCATCCATCCATCCATCCATCCACCATCATCGCCATGAATCACTAACTTGGTACTGCATTGACGAATGGGGAATTCTAGGAAAATTAAAATAATATTAATCATCATCGTCATCAGTACCAACAACATCATCATCATCACAATCATCATCATCATCATCACTAAAATCATCATCACTAAAATCATCATCACTACCTCTGGCACTTCCATTTTAGCCAGCATTTCTTGCAGAGCCACTGGGTCCCTGGCTATTTCCAACGACTGTTAAACAAATTATTAATTATTTAAAAATATTTATCATTATTCAGATATATTATTATTATTATTATTATTATTATTCAAATACATTATTACTGTTATTATTGTTATTGTTGAAATAAAAATGACCTGCTTCATGGCATCAGGGTTGTTCAGCGCATCAAAAATATCCGGGTGCCTCTGGAGAATTTTATTATTCATCATAAGTTGTAGTAGTCGTAGTAGTAGTGGTAGTTGTAGTAGTAGTTGTTGTTGTAGTAGTTGTAGTAGTAGTGGTAGTAGTAGTAGTGAAGCAGATAAAGAAGTAGTATTGATGTCACAAAATTATATATAAATAATAATAATTCAGTCCTATCGATCAAACTCATTCAGTAAGTCAATCAATAGATTACTCATTCATCCACTAACTCGTTCATTCATTATTTCATTCACTCACTCACTTCTCACTCTCTCACTCACTCCTTTATTCATCCCCCCCCATCCCTGGCTAACATTCAACATCTCTCTAGTCTGTGGGACTTGCATCATCATTTTCTTCATGACTTCGGGGTTCTGCATTAGCTGCTGGACCAGAGGGTTCCCCATCATCTCCCTCACCATCTCAGGGTTGGCCATCATCTGGGTGTTTATATTCAAACCATTCTTTCATTCGCTCATCCATACATTCTCTCATTTCTTGATTCATTCTTTTCATTAAATTATTCAATCATTCATTAAATCAATCATCAAGAAACTATACTATTGTTACCGACACTCTTAAAATTAATTTTTGATATAAGTTTACCTTTTACTTTTAACATATTATTTATTATTTAAGAATTAATTTAAATAATAGTTTAATAGCAGTGAAAATCAATAGCAGATGATGACCTGTTGTTGCATTTGTTGCTGTAGCTGAACGAAATTGACGTTATTTAGTCCTAATTTAGTGTATTGTGATGGGAGGAACCAAGGAGATGTTACTGAACTGAGGTCCGACTGAAATTAGTAAAAAAATAGAGATAAGTAAATTTTTAAATAAACTATTTCAGTTCCTTCAAATATACACAATGTATAAGCAATTTAAAGAAAAAAATTATCATAAATAAAAAATTTTTAGCTGATGTGTAATTTAAAAAATGAAAATATTTTTCAAACTAAACCTGGTCTCCTAAATTGTACTTGACGGCCAGATGCAATGATGTGCCCTCAATGATATTTAAGCTCTTCAAGTCATCGTTATCATTTTTCAGCATCTTTCCATCTAGTGTTAGACAGACTTGATCAACCAATATGTTGAACTTCACAGCTACCAGCGACCTCAGCTGGTAGATAAAAATTGAATTTTAAATATAAATTTTATAATTAAAATAATAAAATTAATCACTAAACAGCACAGGTGGTAGAAATAACAGACTGATTAATGATTAAATTAAATAATTACAAAAAGAAGTTAATAAAATTTTATTAAATAAAAAAATGTTAAGAAATACTTGTTCTATGTTAGCGGTTGCTTCCACTGTTACCATCTTCTCCATGTATTGAGATTTGACCCTAACTTTTATATATTCTGGTTCCTCAAATTTTCTCTTCTTCCTCACTGTTTCCCCTTCTTCCTCCTCCTCCTCATTCTCTCCTTTATTCTTTTTTGCTGCTTCGCTTGAGTTTACTTTTAAACTTTCCTGTTCTCCCTGTTCTCCTGGTTGATTTTCAGATTGCTGGCTTAGCTGACTGTCGCTCTCATCTGTAATTGGCTCTATTGCTGATTGTGATTGGTCCACTACATGTTCGTCCCCAGTCTGGTCTGTTGTTGGGGCATCATCTTGACAAAAATATTGATAAAAAAAATTTTGCAATTTTGTGACAAATCAATAATGAAATATCATAAATTAAACTTTTTTTAGAATAGGGATACCTGTGGTGGTGCCACCGGCATCAAGCAGTTCTTGTTCAGCTGAGATTTGATCCACAGATAATTTCGAAACTTGAAAATTTTCATCCGAATTATTTTCGATAGCACTTTCGTTAGTGATGTCCATCGACTGATCACTAACGTCAGCTACTTTTGAAGCATTTTCAACATTTTCAAAGTCCGCCATTACGTTTGTTTTGATTTTAAAATTTATGGTTGGACTATTAGCAAAAGTAAACTTTTGTATCTAGCTCGTCCCTTTTTTTTAGGTCCTATTAGTCGTGAAAGAATCACTCAATTTTTAGAATAAAATGCCGTATACATAAAAAAATAAATGTGTTTAAAAAGTAAAACAGTTTTACACACACATATATGTATAATATCACATATATGCCATTGCGTTTTAAAAAAAGCACATTGCTCTTGCGCCCTTGGTTCATCTTATTAAACATTATTGCAAGAACAAGTGCGATCTCATGTCATACCGTAGGTTTATATACTATTTTTATGTGTCATATATTCAATAAATTCAATCAACAATTGATCACAAATTGAATTAATTTATAGAGAAATCAATTGTTATTTCACTCGTTGAAAATAACAAACAAGAAAGAAAGGAGTTGAATGATCAGATGGAAATGAGCATAAGACGAGGAATCGACAACTTCATGTTCAATCTCCTCCTCCTCCTTCTTCTTCTTCCCTACATTCAACACTTTCTTCGTCGTCGCCGTTTTGTCTGGAGGATTAATAACTCAACCAAAATATTGATACATCAAGATATTATCGATTCCAATTTAGAAAAATGAACTTAAATTCTACTCAAAATTTTAATTAAAAAAACTCTTTACCCTGCAGCATCAGAAGCATTCGACGTCCTTCAGCTTTGAAGGTGATATCATTAACATGATTGTGAACCAGACAGCTGCAGTTATATCGGCCCATCAGCCTGAAAATGAAAAAATTATAGTGTTTTTCGTAAAAAAGTTGTCTGTTGTTTTCATCTATGGCGGTGTCGTTGGCTCTGTAGCAGTCCAATTTGTAAGTATCGGCAGGTGGGAAGCCATTTGATGTACAATAAATTCTCCGACCGACTGTCGCTGCTTGCGGTGAAATCGTCACATTATTTACTGGCTCTGTTTGCAGGAGAGAATTTGATTTCGGCTGTGCTAATTTTGATTCATTCAAGAGAAAAAATTTCAAACCATAAACCACAATTTTCTTCCAGACAACGTGCAAAAATTCATGATCAAATTGATTCTTTTTGAACGTCCACTGGCAGGTAACGTTATTCTCCAACCTGCGGTCAGCCAATCCATAATAATAAGCCTCCAACACAGGAATATCTGTAAAAGTATCTTCCAAATAAGTTTCGTTGTATCTCCCATATATTAGCAGGCCGACATTAGAAAGCGTCAGCGAGTTTTCGAACCAGAGCTCTCCGACTGTGGCCTCCACTGCACATCGAATTGTGAGGCTCCTCTCGTGTAAGATGTTGTCTGGTGGAGTCACCGTTATTCCCAATGGCTTGCCTGTTGTTAAATTTGCAAAGAAGACGCTATGAAAATTCGCATGCAAATCACCAGGCACATGCACGATTCTTCAAATCCAATCAACGTAAAATATAACAAAAATCAAACACCAATTTGATCTAATAATCCAATCAAGAAAGAAATTTAACAGAAATTTAACATCTATTTAAATAAAAAAATCTTAATCTCAGACACTACCAAAAACAAGAGTAGAAAAAACTCAGTGAACTAACATAGAACATACTTATAACGATAAGATTTTTCAGGAATAACTTCCTATCATGGACACATTTGTACGTTCCGGCGTGGCTTGCGTTAGCTTCGAAGCCCTCGACATACGATGGCTGCCCTTCTTGGGGGGTCCAGTCGTTGCTGGGACAACCCGGATCCCAAAATTTTACATTTTCGTACAAATTTACGGCTAAATAGTCAGTCCCTACAACTGGTAAAATTGAGCAAAAACTGTGAAATACTATTTTAAAATAAAATCAACTGCTCGTATCATCAATAATGTTACTTTTAAATAGTTTAATCATCATTTTAATTGTAGAAAATATATTCATGAAACCTCTCTTAAGCAGTGCCACAGTCACCACAAACGCAAATAATGTTAAACGACAAAAAATCAAGAACATTTAAATTTTACTTTAACATAAACAAATTTTTAAAAATAAAAAACAAAAATTCATTTGTTACGTCATCGTAAGAGCAACCAAAGATGTTGAATACGTTATTTGATGTTTAACGATTCCTACTCGATTAAATATTCGGTCAAACTATTGCTAAGCAGCAGATGAAATCACAAAACCCGTCTGTTTCGGTTAAAAAAAACACTGGGAAGATATAGAAATCAGAGATACATGACAATGGAGAATAGCAGTCACACCTAAAAACACTTCAATCACGCATTTACATGTTCCATAAAGTCACTGTTTTACTAAACCCAACCATAATCCCGACGTAATCAGCAACGATATCTCATCATCGCGATTTTTCACGTTTTCAAACATTTTTTATCGAAAATTATATGATTAAATTTTTTACGAATGAATTTTTACGAACACAAACAGGTCGTCTTTATTTTCTTTTATAATTACAGCGCATCAATAGATGAGAAAGAAATTAAAGACAAAAAATCAATATAAAAACCCCCAACGTACGAGTGTTTATGACTCATTTTTGCTCTGAAAATTAAACGATAAAATCATTATTTATTACTGAATACATCAAACGAATACAAGATTGTTAATGAATAAGACATTCGGGAACGGATTAATAAATCTAATCAATGCATTATGTGACAGTGAGAGAAAAGAAAAATGCCAAAAAATCACATGAGTGTAGCAGACCATTTGAGCCTGTACACCCCTGAAACAGTTCTACTCGGCAGCGATCCTAACTCGGTGATGAGTGTAGGCACGAGTCTGGCCGGGGACAGGTCGTATTTTAAACCGACCGCCTCGAATTCTTTGTTCGTGCCTGTTGATTCTACGCTCAGCCCTGCATTCATCCATCATTGACATAGTTCAGTTTAAAAATTCACTTAGGAAATGACAATAAAGTGAATTTCTCAATTTTACATGGCAATGAAGACAAAATTATTTTATGAAACACGAGAAAGTTGTTTGAAATGAAAAAAAAACCAAACCCATTTCATTTTGGACGATTGAATCGATCTGCGCACGATCGCAAAATTTAAAAGTCTCGCAGAGTGCCACGACTGACACGTCGCTGAGCAGGGCGCTAATTATGACGGCCGATATTCCAGTGGGGCACATGATCGACCCGTTGGAGAATACTGCCTCCGGCCCCACTAAAACTTTTGTGATCTGTCGTTTGGTGGTGTTGGGTTTTTTTTGATGGTGCTGCTGATGATAAAAAAAAGAAAAAGTTATAAGTTATAATGAAAATGAAAATGAAGTTAGAAACCGTAACAAAATTAACAACAACAACAGCAGACAGAATGTTGAGAGGATGAGGTAACATAAAGTGCGAGATTACAAGCGAACAATAAGAGTATAAATGGGAGGCCTCGTCACAACAACAACATAACTTATCGTAACGTAACGGTAAAAACTGAGAAAAATTCTAATTATAGAAAAATAAAGTAGTAAAACTGAAATGATAAAATGAGCAGTAATAATAACAATACATCACCTTATAAATGTAAGTTGAAACGACAGACGTGTTTAAGAATGTGCAATCCATTCCTCTAGTTATCAAACCCTCCGCCATCAACCTGCCTACAATTAGTACCAATAATAATAATAACAATGATGATGATGATGACAATCAATAAATAGATTACACCAATGAATATAATAAAAATAACGTAAATGAAATGAATGAAAGTCCCGATAAACGAATAAATGGATGAATAAATGAAGGTGTGATGGATGGATGGCTGGGCATGCATTCAAACCATATGACTCGGACTCGTCAGTGTCAGCTACGAACACTTTAAAGCTCTTCCCCATGTTGAACGCCTCAGTCAGTGCTTTGATCACCAGCGGCGAACTGTAGAGTAATGATAAGAACGAGGGCACTTGCATCATTCAGACAGTTTCATGAAAAAATGATTCAGATGTGCTCGAAATTTCACCACACAAATAAAATTAACACAACTTAAATTTGAATGTCATCACAGGTAATGTGAAATGGCAATGAAGATTCCAGCAAAAAAAAAACTTGCTTACTATTCTTAAAAAGTCACTTTTAAAACTACCAAGTTTGCGTTACATCAGTAGAAAATGTAAAGTAGCAAGAAGAGTATGAGAGCAGTCTGCCACAACTCCTACCGACAACAACCAGCCAAGCAATGAAACCGACCATCCATAGACGAGAAAGACGTCCCCATCCATGACAGTCAACTTGAACTCATTAATGATCCTCTTCGTCGCAAGGATGATGTTCGCATTCACAAAGTCGGTCAGTCGATCATTCAGGTAGGTTCTCAACTGGAAATGAATGAATGAATGTATGAACGAACGAATAATATCAACAAATAATAATAAAACCATTTATATAGCGTCCATCAATAATAATTCTAACCACGTCATCAGAGGCGCCAGGAAACAAGCCCTCTAGCTTGTTGATGTGGTGCTTAAAATATTTTGTTATGTTAACCATTCCCATAGTCAATGGCTTACAACTCTTCAGGTACCTTATTAGTAATTAATTATTAGGTTGTCGTGAGTGAATAAATTATGTAAACGAGCTATGCTAAATGGGTTATGATAAATCAAGCTATGTAGGCGACGAATTAAGAAACTTGTTATGAGAGCATGTTAATGATTACAATACTAAAAAGATATGCGCCGGTATATTAATTCATGAAATCAATACTCGAACACGGAAGTTTCTATTTATAGCAACCAATCATAGTTACAAGATTACTCATTAATATTTATAACAGACACATCTTTAGCACAATGATTTAAATCAGCCAATCGGCTAACTCTATGGATTTTGCTAGTTTTTCCATGAAATCTCTTGAAAACTCTTTATTTATTGGCGTCGAGTAGTCGTGTAACATCTGGAGGGACGGTTTTTTTTGTAAAAATATCCCAAATTATGAACTCTCACGATGAAGACAACGTTACAAATGAATATCAGTCACGAAAATGAATGAATGACACACGCACGTGGGTGAAAAGGCTTGAATGAACATCAGAAACTATAATGGAGGAGGAGATAGAGAGAGATAGAGAAAAGAGAGAGATAGAGATAGAGGAGAGAGGGAAAGAAAGGGGAAGTGAACAGAACAGGAAAAAAAATAGTAACCCACAAATATATACAAACACAAACACGCACACACAAACACACACGCGTACATGTTTCAGGGCCTTAACAAGGGAAAGTTCCCTGGCGTTTGACCCAATTATTTCTTCTTCAGAATACTGCTGACCTAATTTCAAGATGGATGGGTGGAAGCCATCTTGAGAGGTGGAAAAACTAGAGGAATGAATATAAATTATGAGTTAATGTTTATTATAATGATAATAATTTTAATGAATTTATTTGTACCACTAATAACCAACAGGATGTTGTACAAACTTAATAGAAGATATGCTGCATGGTTTGGAATCACCGTCAACCATATTTGTAGTTGTGGCAGTAGTGGTAGTAGTACAAGTAGTAGTAGAAGTAGTAGTAGTTGTTGGCAGCAGGTGATGAAACATCTTCATTACCTTCAATCAATCATTCAATCAATCAATCATTCAATCAATCAATCAATCATTCAATCAATCAATCAATCAAACAATCATTCAAACAATTCATCAAACAATGGATCATTATTTGCATCCATACCATTGTGAACAACAACCCCTCGAGACCGACCTGCTGCTTACACTCTTTTTTGTTTGAGGATTTCTTGGAGGTTGCAGATTTCTTCGGCTGCTTCGTTGTCTTCATTTGCGGCACGAGTGTTGTTGATGTTTGGACTTTATTGGAGCTGGCAGGCTGATCTGGTTCAGTCAGTAGAATGATTTTTTCAAAAATTTGGTTTTAATCATCCAGTCATTCAACCCTAACTAACAATTGTTCATTCATTCATTCATTTATTCATTCAGTTAAACATGAAACCTGCAAAAACACACACTTACATACATACATACAAAAACATAAACACACACCCATAACTTTAGCTTGCACTGGTTTAGCTGGAGCACTGGCTGTGGTGTTTTTCACTTGTGAATTTTCAACCTGCTTAGCCGATGGAGTTCCTCCTTGCTTAGCTGCTACAGCTCCGCCCTGCTTAGCTGCTAGTTTAGCAGCTCTTTGGGCCTCCTAATGTTAATAATAATTAACAGTTAATAATAATTAGTTAAATTAAATAAAATTTTTTGCAATATATTTTAATTGTAGTTATGGTAATGATGAAATGAACCTGTACTGCTCTTCTCTCTGCCCTTAATTGAGATTTACTTTTAGTTAGAGAATCATCGGTCACCTCTTGTAGTTCGTGTTGCTGTTGTTGTTGTTGATTGATCAGATCATTTTCAGTCGGCTGTGATTTCTTCTTTATGTTAAATTCCTCCATCTTATCAGCAACATTATTGAGATCATTGATCATTTTGGAATTATTATCAATTTTATCTTTAATCTTTTCAGTAACTTTTTGATCTTTTGTAGTAGGAGTATGTTGCTGCTTTTGTTGTTGTTGTTTGGGAACTTTTGATTTGTTTTCAGACTGTTGCTGTTGTTGTTGCTGCTTCGAGTTTGTTAATTGCATTGCTGTCTGATTTGATGAATCTGAAATTTTTTCTTGCATATGAACATCTCCATTCTCATTCTCCTTCCCAACAAAAGCATTAGTCAAGGTACTGGTATTTTCACTAATTTCACTAATCACATTAGTAATAGCAGTTGTAGTAGGGAGGCCATTAATGTTGTTAGTAGCAGCAGTAGTAGAAATTTGACTATCATTTTTAGAATCAGCGACATCGTTATTTACAATCTTTTCATCCCCAGATTTAAGCATTTTAGTTACTGATGTAACAGTCAATGATTGATCATCATGATTCATTGTACTAGCTTCTAATTGTTCCTGACTGACACAGTATACTGATGGAAATATGTGAGCAGATGTTTTAATTGCATCTTTGTTTGGAGAGGTAGTGACATCAGTACTGGCAGAATTTTGCCTATTTTTATTAGCTTTATTTCTATTTCTTTTCGACGGCATGTTTATTTTTAGTTAATTTATTATTTATTTAGCTGTGGAGATAATTTTGATTTTTGAAACACTATGTATATGAGTTCATAATTTTGAAAAATGTGTAGAAAAAATATAGAGAAAACAAAGATAAAAATTTCATTTGTACTTTAAATATGAAAGATTATAAAATGAAAACGTAGAAACATTCACTAACTAATTTTGATTAGGAACAACCACTTTGACTCTCGAATTGTCGAAATGATGAAACTGTTGAGCGAAAAAAAACTAATTTACAAAGAACAGATAAATGTAAGATGAAACCATGGGTATATATAAAATATAATTTATATCTATGGATGAATATTAAATTGAAAATTTTATTTTTTAACTAAATATTAATTTATAAAAGCTTAACAATTATGAATAAAACAAATACGCCTAATTAAACATGTACAAACCATAGATGTACAAACCGTTTAGATGTACTTTTTGTATATAGCAGACGATCTTGACTTCATTGGACATTGGTAAAAGATTTCTAATCATAATCGTTATTATTTCGTGTATTAAAATTTTTTGAAATAATGGCTGCCGATCAAACAGTTGAAGAAAATTTGAACGATGATGACAACGATGAATCATTCTTCCAAGACATCGATCTTCTTCAGAATCACGGAATCAATGTATCGGACATTAAAAAACTGAAACAGGCGGGCATTTGCACCGTCAAGGGGGTCCAAATGACCACCAGAAAAAAATTGTGTGCCATCAAAGGGTTATCAGAAGCCAAGGTTGATAAAATTAAAGAGGGCGTGGCAAAATTATCAAAAGAAGGTTTCCTAACCGCCTTAGAGTTCTCTGAAAAAAGGAAGCAGTGTTTCAAAATAACAACAGGTAGTGCAGAGTTCGATAAATTGTTAGGTGGTGGCATTGAAAGTATGGCTATCACCGAAGCATTTGGAGAATTCAGAACTGGCAAAACGCAAATAGCTCATACACTCTGTGTTACTGCACAGTTACCTGGGGCCAGGAATTATTCTGGTGGTAAAGTTATCTTCATTGACACAGAAAACACATTCAGACCTGACAGACTGAGGACAATAGCTGATAGATTCAATCTCGATCAGGATGCTGTGTTAGATAACGTTTTGTATGCCAGAGCTTACACCAGTGAACACCAATATGAAATATTAGATTTTGTTGCTGCTAAGTTTCATGAAGAGTTAGGAATTTTTAAATTGTTAATTATTGATTCCATCATGGCTCTCTTCAGAGTTGATTTCAGTGGGAGAGGTGAGTTGGCAGACAGACAACAAAAACTGGCTCAACTTTTATCAAGGTCGGTTATTTATTCACTCAATTCTCTGTTCATATAACTGAATTATTAAAATTTCTGTTTAATAATCAACCTTCTTACCAATAAATTTTAATTTTCTCAGACTCCAAAAAATATCAGAAGAATACAACATAGCAGTGTTTGTAACAAATCAAATGACAGCTGATCCAGGAGCGACCATGACCTTTCAAGCTGACCCCAAAAAACCAGTTGGAGGTCACGTTTTGGCCCATGCCTCGACTACAAGATTGAGTTTGAGAAAAGGAAGAGGTGAAGTTAGAATTGTGAAAATTTATGACAGTCCAGACATGCCTGAAAGTGAAGCTTCTTTTGCAATATCAGCTGGAGGTATCACAGATGCTAAAGAATAAAATCATTTTACATATTGTTATTTTAAGTTTACATAATCATTATTCTAAAGACTTACTTTTAATCTTTTACGGTTACAAAAAATCTTATATAGATTTGTCTCGTCATTATTTATTGGAATTTGCACATGTTTGTTTGGATTTAATTTTTTTAAATGGATGCTTCAAATCCATTTTATCTTGTTTGCAGTGTCGAAAATTTTGTTTAAATTTTCGTTTTATCTTATACTTTTAATTACGCCTTTTTGTAAATTTCATTATATATTCAACAAATTGTATGCAATCTAACATTCAATTAAGTTTTTTCAGATAAAAGGTTTATTACAGTTGAAAAAATGTTTGTATGTAAAGTAAAATAAATAAAATGATGAATAGATATGACTAAAATAAATAAATGAAATAAAATTCAATAAAATTACTATTCAATCATTAACAATAAGCTAAAATAAAAATCTTAGTTAACTCAGATAGAAGCACAATTAAAGGGTTAGGAATGATTATATATATAACAATGTTTATTTAACAACAACAATGATGATAATAAATAGCATAAATAATTGATAAATAACGTAAAATGTTAATGCTAATGACGAAAGTCGTAACAAAATGATGAAGTGAAAAAAGAATTAAGGTGTTGAAATCAGACATGTGTAATCATGTGTTGTAGATTTATGACTACCAATTTGAAAACCTTTTTCTAATTGACTAATATAGAAAGAAAAACAAAGGATAGATAATCAGTTATTTACAAAGTTTTAAATCAAATTCATTCAAATTAATTCACCTAACTACCATTAACAACGATTATAACATTTAAAATACACTACACATATAAGAATACAGACTAGATTGAATTGACTAAAACCCCTGAAATAAAATTAAAAGATGGAAACTTAACGTCAAAGCTTTATACAGGTCAATTTTTGATAAGATATAACTAGCATTAGCAAGCTTCTTATATTTATATCATCGTCTTTATTGTTATTACGTAGTCGTTATGTCATAATTTATTCATCATAATTTTTTTTATAGGTGATAATATGATTAATGTCTTGCAGTTGTTATGTCGGTGTAGATTCTGTAGAAGACGTAAGGGAAGTACTCAGCAGTGGACGAGGAGACACCCGGTATGTCCATCAGCTGTTTGTGAATTAAAAATTTTATTGATAATTATTATTCTTATTATTAATATATTTATTTATTTATTCATTTATAATTATTGTAAATATATTTTGATGTATGCATTATCATGTCAGTTTTAATCTCAGCTAGCTAAATATTATGCGAAATATAACTTGATTTTCAGCAATGATTATTACAATTTATATATATAAATAATGTATTATTAATAATTATCATTAATAAATATTATAACATTATTACTAAAATAGTAATAATAACATCCATATTAGAAGTTCCACTATTATCAAGGTGCATGTACATCTGATTCAGCACATCTCTCAACTTTTTATGGTTTTTTTTGGGGGCTGCCAACAACATAGGCTGAAAGTTAACAGGCAATCCGTACCTTTGATTAGGATTTTGGAAATTACAGAAAGGATTAAAAGTGAATATGAATAATAAAAAATATTACTACAAAATAAACTAATTGCTAAAATGTAATAATGAAATAATATCCCCCAGATTTTATTGGGAAGCAACGATTATATATATTGATATATCCAAAGAGAGACTTGTGACCTGGACGTATTTATTGCAATCCAATAACTTTCATTGGATCACTACTTTTTCATTGCAAATTTCACATAAAAATATAAATAATATAATAATAAAAAATAATAATAACCTCAGTACAGATTCAACATAAACTCTCAGTGCCTTAACGTGTATGTAAGCAGTGTATGATTCGCTGAAGTTCACCCTCAGCCATCTGACCAATGGACCCTTTCAAGTTTTTTTAAAATGAATTTAAATTTTATATATTAGTAAAGTAAGTAAAATAAACGTACAAATTGTTTCTTTTTGTCAGAAGCCAGTTTAGATATTTCAGTTTTGCCTGCAGCCATTTCTTCTTCATTGTAAACAAAATCTCTTACTATAAATCTGTGCGTATGTACGTGTGTGTGTGTGTGTGTGTATGTATGTATGTATAAGTATGTGTGTATATACACAAGTGTGCACGAACGTATGTGTATGAATTTATGTGTATATGTGTGAATGAATGAATGAATGAATGATCGAAAGAAAGAAAAATAATTAAATTAATAACTTTTTCTCCCTAGCGTGTAACTTAAATTCATCTAGGACTTTCCTGAAAACCGTGACAGCATAGAGGATGTTATCATTGTCTTGTATGATCTCTCTTGTGAAAAAAAATAAGTTAGAAGTTTTAGAGGAGTCCAAGATGATGATGAACATAGACGAAAAAAACGGACAAACAAACAGAGCGAGAGAAAGAGAGAGAGAGAGAGAGAGAGGGAGAAAGAAGTCAGTAGCAAAACAGAACCATGATGAATATGACGTAAAATAAAAGTAGATGGACAAAATATTGTATTTATCTATTATATCATTCACTCACTCACACAATCATTCATTTACTTATTCTTTCATTCAATCACATTATATAATGATGACACTGTTTTAATACTTGGCTGATCTGGGTATGATCATATCGCAAATAGTTTCATAATTTTCAAGGAAATCTTTTTGCAACGACCTGAAAAATTTTTAGGAAAAAAATATAACGTAGACATTAATATTAATCTTTCCTTCTCTCTCTCTCTCTCTCTTTTCTCTCTCTTCTCTCTCTCTTTCTTTCTCTCTCTTCCCTCTCTTTTTCTCTCTCTATATATATCATCCCAATGATATAAAATGTCACAAAATAAAACCAACATCATCATTACATTAGGTTATTTGCATTAAATCTTAGGAAAAATTATATAAAAATAACAGACAGACATATTTTTATGAAATCATATTGGTAGCACCAGCACGCCAACAAATATCTGGAAAAAATATTTTGCTTGGTGAAACCACACCTTGGCACCACAATGAGAATAGTAATTAGGTAGTCGGACCCCAAGACAAAATCCTCCTTCTTAACTAAATCTGAGAGATTTCGAGTTAGCAGAGAACCACTGTATTGAAAAAAAGTTGAAAAAACAATTTTTAAATAAATAATAATTAAATTATTTTCATTTTTAACAAGAATACTACACCTACTTACAGTTTAAAATAATAATATCAGTAAGAATAAAAACATTGGAAAAGATATTATTATGAATATTGTATATTACATAAACAACAATACCATCACTAATGATACAAACCAGATGTTGTGTAGTAAACAAATAATAATAATATGAATATGAATAATAAACAAATAATAATTTTAACGTGGATTTCTTTTCCAAAATTTGTAAATTGCCTTTCAGGTTGTTGTAAGCTGCTGATCTGGCTTTCAGGTCTGATTCAATCTGGGTCATTTGCTGAATAAATAAATGAATGAATGAACGAATAAATAGAAGAATGAAAAATGATTAGATATCATATCAAATCAAATAGATAGATGAAAGGTGGTTGAAAGATGAATGAATGAATTAAATTTTTTCAGTAAAAACCTTTGCAATAAAATCAGAAATATTTTTTATCGGCTGATTCGTTGAATATTTTGCCAAATCCCATTGGAATTTTGTCAAATACGATGCCATAGAATCTTTAAAAAATCAAATCATTGATATCAATTTAGTAAATTCAATTAGATTATTCATTTTACATAAATTTATCAATTAGCTAAAATAACAACCAATAACAAACATTTTATTTTTACATCAGCAAATCAGAAACATCCAATTATAACAACCAACCAATCAAAAACATTCAACCACAAAAATCAACCAATCAGAAACCAGATGAACAAATTGGCCTCACTCATACTCACATCCATTGACCAGTAGGGATTCATGTAATTTGTCGGTCTCACCTTCCATAACATCACCCATGTAGTGAGCTATCTTTCTCACAATTCTAATAAAAAAATAAAAATTATCTCAAAATATTTAAATGATTCATAATTATTAACAAAATTTTAAATTATGTAAAAAAAAAGCTATATGTCTGGTACATCAAGCAGTGAAGTAAGTTATATATTATCTTTATTATAGTTATCATTATGATATTATAATAAATATTATGAACAGAACATACATTTCAACATAACCATCCAACTTAGCAAGATCATCTGACAGGCCCACCAGAACATCTAATGTCCCCACCTAAATGTGTGAAAGTTAGTGAATTTGTGTAGTTGATTTTAGATTTATTGATAAAAGTTTAATTAATTTCGCATATTTCACCTTTAAGAGTAAGAATTTCATTTTAAAAATCTTCATCCTAGTTAGTTAGTGCTAGAGCTAGTAGAGTTACTTCATCAATCAATTTTTTTTCTAAAATTTTCAATAATTCACTCTTCATTCATTCAATTCAATAATTCTAAATAAAAATTCATTTATTTAAAAGAAACCTTAAGATCAGGGATGTGAAATTTAAAGTTAATGGAGAGATTATTTTGCTTCGAGGTGACGTTGTTCATGTTCTCCCAGGTCTGTGCGCACGTCTTCTCCCCAGGCGCACTGATCAGCCAGAACTCTGTGATATCCTTTAACTTCGAGTCCAACATCTCCATGATTGAAGATTTAATTTTTAAAATCTAAACTTCGACAGTTTAAAAGATGAATTAAAAGTAAATCAATAAAATAATGGCTAATATTGAAATTAAAAATGGTTTCTGTGAGCTTTTTTTAGTGGTTTTAGATCGGGATAGTAAAATGATAATCAAATTTCGCGTCGAAGTTTATTTTTAGTTTGCTGCATAGACGAAGTAATGAGCAAAATTTAAACCTTGACTGTCTTTCATGTTTGCTCAAAAAATTTGTATACTTAAATCCACACACACCACACAGACACACACACACACACACACACATACACACACACACACATACACACATAAACCCTCATATACCTGAACATATAAATATATATGCTTCATTTTTTATTTTTTACATAATATTTATAAATGTTGGAAACAAACAGTTTAGAATTTCATTGCTCATAGACAACACACGTTGAAATAAAATATTTCCATGTTAGTAAACCTTCATATACAATATCACACACAATCATCATCCCTACCTAATCGTCTTCATAACCATCAATCCTTGTTTACTCAACAATCATCGTCTGTATACACATATATAAACATACCTTATATAAAAGAGTTATATATATATATATATATTCATTTATTTATCTATTTATATACTTATATACGTATTTATATTTGTATACATGAATACTTGTATATTCTTGAATAAATTAACGTGAAACTTCAGACATGAATGACGTAACGGTGAAATTAAATAAGATGACACTATTAACAACTGCTTAACAAGCGCTATATAAATGATATATATTTGTATATATATATATATACACATATATATATATATATATATATAGCATCGTAAATATACATATCTTTATCTTTAATCCATTTACTTATTTTTTGGTATGGTTTTAAAGATAATGATGATGACAACGATGATGATTAAGTTTTTAATGGAAATAATAAAGACGTTGATGATGATGATAGCGATGATGATGATCACAATGATGATGATGATGATGTTATTTGGAGAACAAAAAATTCCTTTCCACGTATAAAAGCAATGGCCAGCGGCTCACAGTTCCATTCAAATGGTGAAATTTAGGAAAATACTTTGATATAATTGCCAAAATTAAGAACATATAATTACATTTTTTCAGTAATTACATTAATTACATTACGTACAATTCCTACATTCTTTACAATTGTAAGAGATAAAAAGCTTATTAATCAGAAAGAAATGTTGACAAATACTATTTTGAAATGTTTGTTTGTGATGTATTTGTTGCTGTTAATGTCGACAACAACGTCAACTCAACACCACCACCACCAACAACAACAAGATCAATTGTTGTTGGAGTACAATCGCAATCAAAATTTGTTAAAAAACATCAACAACATCAACAAAGGCATCAACAACTTCAGAAACAACAATATCTTCACCGAAAACAATAATAACAAGGCCAGTGACAGCAAAAAGAAAATTTTTGGCAGAAAATCAAAAAGTTATAGCCCATTAAACGACAATAAAGAATTACAAAGACTCTTATCGCCACCAGCGGCAGCACTATCACCGTCGTTATCACCTTCAACATCACCAACATCAACATCGTCGACCCCAATTTTATCATTGCCATGGTCGGCATCATTTTTACTAAGACCTCCACCTTCATCCCCACCACCAGCACATCCCTACTGCCCGCCGTGCAGCTCCGTCACCTGCCGACGAAATTTACAATGTCCCGGATCACTAATTTCTGGCATTTGCGGCTGCTGTCAGGTTTGCGCTAAACAGCTCGGAGAGATGTGCGGAGGCGTATTTAATTATTTTGGCGATTGCGAATCCGGACTATCATGCAATAATAATAATAATAATGATAATAATAATAATAATCATGATAATCATGATAATAATAACTTCAACAACAATAATAATTATTATAAGAATTATGAGAATAAGAATAACGGGAATAGTGATGAGAACTCGAACGCCGGAGTATGCGTAGAATCGAACTCGTTCGTTGAAAAACATCAACAACAACAACAACAACAACATCTAAAACAACAACCGCAACAAAAAAGCGCAAAACATCAACAAGAGTTTGAACAACAAGATCAACAACAACAAAAAGCCAGACATCATCGTCGTCAGCCCAGTGAAAAAAATTTATTTGAACGGCATAAAAAAAGACTAAATTATCGTCAACAACAACATCGACGACAACAACAACATCAACCACAACATCAACAACAACATCAACAACAACATCAACAACAACAACATCAACCACAACATCAACAACAACCAAATCCAAGCAAACGTATTGGCGAAAAAAGAAAGCGAAAAACGTCAACTGCTTCTACTACTACTACTACTATAACTACAACAACGACAATAACTACCACTACTACTACCACTACCACCACTACTACTACAGCTTCTCCGTTTTGCAGTTATAGTTATTGTCGTAACCACAAAACTTCGACATGCATTTATGATAAAAGGTCGGATTGTCTGTGTGTTTATTTATAAGAACAACTTTCTTATTGTGGCTTTGTTTATAATTAATATGATTATAATAATAGTAATAATATTAATTATTATTGTTGCAATCACGACAGCTTACATCTTCATTGCAGTTCATTTGATGGTTTTTTTTCATTAGTTCATTCATTCGTTCATTTATTTGTTCATTCATTCCTTCGTTCATTCAACCGCTATCATTCATTCTATCATTCCTTCATTCATTTGTCTTTCCATCTACTCATTCATTTACCTAATCGACCATCCATCCTTCAATCAATCATATCTTATCTGCGTCAATTTAACCTGTGAATTCATCTTCTGTTGTATAAACAATTTCCACTTAAACGCAATTCATTCATTCGTTCGTCTATCTATTCATTCATTCACTCGTTCGTTCATTCATTCATTCATCCATTCATTAATTCATACATTGACATTCATCCATTCGCTCATTCGTTCGCTCGTTCGTTCACGGATAATACAAATATAGATACACAGAAAAGCCTTAAAATGTAAAAGAATGAAATAGAATATTTAAAAGTGCATTCCATTTTTATTTCTTTCCACAAATAATAAATAACTGGAGTATACATAGCGATAGAGAGAGAGAGAGAGAGAGAGAGAGAGAGAGAGAGAGAGAGAGAGAGAGAGAAAGAGAGAGAGAGAACGACAGAGAACAAGATGCGTAGAGAAAGATATTGGAAGAATGCAAGAAAAAAGAAAAATTAAGAGAAAGAGAGAGATAGAGAGAAGGAGAGAGAAGGAAGGAGGAAGAGAGACCACTTTCATAAACTTCGTTTTATTGCCATTTAAATATAAAACCTGTCACGGAGTCAATTGACTTTAAACCATTCCATCTTATTAATCAGTCTATATATTATACATGTATATACAGTAGGAGAGGAAGAGAGAGAAATAGAGAGAGAGAAGAGAATCACACAAGCCTATAAGAATAGAAATTCTCGACATCAAATATCATTTAGATAGAATAACTTCAACAACAAAATGGAAACTATTGAATCAAAATACGACCTACAGACACACAGATATATATAGATAAACACCACGTAATCTTCGTTTTCCATTGATACTTATTAAATGAATATTTAATTATAACACTCACAAGCTATGGTAGAGTCCCCGCTTTGAAAGTGAAAGAAAGAAAAAAGAAAATGAAAGAAAAACGAACTTCATGCCAAGCCTGTAGCCTCATGACGACTGACTACAAACTGCACAAAAAGTGCGGCGGATGTTCTTACGACGACGTCATATGCGTCAAAAAATTCGGCAGATGCGCTGCTAAACTGAGCAGAGAACTCTGCATGTATGCCTGGAGTTTTCTCTGTTCTAAGGTAAAATTTACTTTCTTTTTAAGGAAAATTATATTCATCGAAATAATAAATATGCATAATATTTATTTAAATTATCGTCGTTACATTTACGATTCTTATTAAGCAAATTAATAATTTCTGTTCCACATATTATATAATTACGCACCCATTTACTAAAATCTTATCAATATCAGTAAAAATGAAATCTTCCTCCATCTCATTAGTTGATTAAATAGCTTTCATTACATAATTTACTTCATGTATTGTTTTACTTAATAGCATGTTAACCATAGCACACTGGCAACGATTCAACTCATGCATTAATATGTTTTTTCAGATTAAAAATTGCAAGACAACTTTTAAAAATTACACTAACTTAATAAATTTATTTGCCACTTATTAACCTAACAGAACCAGACAAGCGACCAACTACCGGAGCATTACAAGTTCAAATGCCACGTCCCGAGATTATTTTAAATATTTATCAATTATAATAAGTTATCATTGGAAATTATATCGGTATTATTTATCTAAAAGCTAAAAAATGACAACTTTTCCTACGCGGATATAACTTCGGATCTCAATGCCTTACGTACAACCGACTGCTTAAACTTTCACAACTCGTTGCTGTCTCGAATTTTTTAGAATATAATAAAGTGAAACAAAAACGTGTTTTTTTTAAATTTTTTAACTCAACAGCACCACCCTGATCAATTACAACGGCCAACTTCATTACATCAGTCAAGATAATATTAAGGTTCTAGCAAACTATAGAATTTTTCACTAATTTATTCATGCTCTTCAGAGCGAAGTCGAGCGTTGGGGTTTGTAATTTTGATGGCCAGTTGTTGGGCTCTCTCGACAATTTCTTTTCGTTTCTTGCTCGAGACACTGTGGGCAATTTCAGCTGAGAAAACACGGTTTTGCATCAGTAAAACTTCCAACTCCTATATAAAACGAAAAATTTATCAATTTTATATTTTTACTTTCTCTAGTCTGAATCGTAAGTAAGATAAATATCCAAATAAAATATCAATCACAGTCAAATTTATTCTTTATCAAAGAATCACAATTAAAAAAAGCATACAAATTCCCTTCTATGATTTTCTGAATATAGTATAAAGATCCCACCCACCTTTATGTTGTGGATCAGAACTTTTTTGAATCCATCAGGACAAACGTGTTTGGTCTTCTTGTTGCTACCATAACCAATGTTTGGCATCAAATACTGGCCCTTGAAACGGCGCCTGACCCTATTGTCAATACCCTTTGGTTTTCTCCAGTTTGGCTGTTGGAAAGAAAATAAAATATTTAAAAGTATTAATAATTGACAATGGAATATACGTACGATGACGCCGCCCCTCTCTTTGTGAGCAATTAATTTATTATATTGATTTATGGTTGTAGTAACGGCTTATCCCACACACTCTGCGAATAATGGTAATAGTAATATAATATTAATTTTTCAGCACAATGGCATATAACGATAAATATTTTTCATTGCATCAGCCAGCCAGAGTCTAGAGCCAAATCATCGCTTTTGTATAAACACTCTATCTGGACATTGTGATGGCGTAGTGATTATGGTGATTTTCCAATTGCTGTGAAAAAACAGTATGTTTAGTTTGCGGTGATGTAGATTGGATATAATGTGTGGACTGCTTACAACAATATTGCTCAGTTGCCAGATATACCGGCTTTATCAACACAATACGGTAAACCACAACCAAAATTTTGTTGATCCCGTCAAGGGAGCGCACACAAATATGTTGAATGTTACTAGCAGAACTGTAAAAAGTTCAAAATTCTATGCTTGATAGTCACTTGGACAAATTTTAATGTAGTGAAATTCATGTCTAAAGGGCCCCGAAATGCACTTATGAACTTGTTTCAACATTTAGCTCAGTGGGGCATACATTGCCTCAATACTTTGACAAACTTTGTTGTTTTGTTGAAATAAATGTAAAAATTAAATTCAGCTTGGTCGAAAGGTGTTCACATCCATTTTTATGAATTTAATGTTTTAACATAGGGGTCCCATTCTTTTAAGGAGTGCCAAATTAAACTTTAATTTTCATTAAAAATATATACAATTTTTTTATTTTTTGAAATGTTACATAATATACAAATAAATTAAAGTGTTCTGTTTTTATCATTTTTAATTCACCATATCTTGTTTTCTTGCACTGGTTACTTAGAAAATAGAATAATTTTTAAAATCTGCATATTAATGTAAATGTCTCAGTTAAAAATTTCCCAAATTAAATATTTATACATTAACCAAAGTCTAAACCTAAATCTTTCAGTTCACAATTATCTTTTTATTTTAACCATTTTATGTTTTGACTGAAACAAAAAGTCAAGGGTTAGTTTTTGTCATCTGTTTATTTTTTAGCTTTTTAAAAGAAAACGTGTAAGAATTGAAAATAACAAACCTTTAACTTGACATAGCGGTCCGACTGATGTCTGATAAACTTCTTGACCCTCTTCTTCACTAACCTCCTCTTCGTTAAAGGTCTAATAGCCGTCATTTTACTAAATTAGTTAAGAGAATATATCGTTAATAGAGAATATATCGTTGATATAAAATGCGGTCAAAAATGGCTTTTTATTGTATAAATAATAACATTTTAAAAAATTAAAAAAATAAATGTGTCGTATAATCAAATATAAACCACTTTAGAACATTTAAAAAAATAATTAGCCTCAAATAAATGCGATAACAAGGGATTTAGAAAGGAGACATTGACGTAGAGCGACTTACAATTTGTTGACCGGAAAAAGAAGGCCAAAGACTACAAAACCTGAATCGTTACAAAAAAAATTAACTTTTTTTAAAATATGGCGTAGACACCCAGACTAGCATGTAAATGTATTTTCTTCATAACATTATTTTTTGACTATTTTTTTTTAAATATTGAAAAATAATTTTTATTTAACAATAATCGGTTTATTCGAAACATGATTTTTCTTTCATTTTTTTAATTGTAGTAGCAGGAGTACCTGCGTAGTAGTGGCACGAAACCTTGAGTACTGAGGTTGAAAAATTTGTGAATGACGCCTTGCGCTTGAGAGAACTGCATAGTTGATGTTGACAGTAATACGAGTTTTTAATTGCCTCATCTTTTTTGCTCCGGATGATCATTATTTAAAAAGGATGACGAATGTTACTAAAACATTTATCACATTATACGATCTTCAAACGCGCTCTTCGATTTTTAAGTCTTTGCTAATTTATTATCCAATCTACTGGAGCCATCTGCAGACCACTTACTTGAAAGCTAAATTCGATCTACAAAATCAGAAGCATCGGATGATTTCAACAAATTAAAATACGAAACACATGCAACAAATTAAAATATTTAAAGTAATTTATTTGAAATGATGATCGAATGAACAAAGGCTTAAAAATAACTATTATATTATATACAGTAACTGTTGAAACAGTAACAAACAAACAAACAAACGAACGATCGGTCAAGCAATCAATCGAGCAACCGTCTGTTCAATCAATCAATCCATCCATCCCTCAATTCACTTATTTAAAGAGCCATTCAAATCAATTAACAATAAAAATTAAATCCTTCGTCAAACACAAGCTTTTTTCTTCTTCTCACTCGAAGTGAGCTTTCTTACTAGCAGCCACACCAATTGCTGACTCATCCTGATTGGCTGGTTATAAATAGAATGTCACGATTAGTTTAATAATAAATGAGGGTCTCAAATTTAAACATTAATGACGTACCATCATCAGCTGCTTTTCTTTTTTTGGCCTTTTTGACCATTTTTTTCTGAACTTTTGCGGCCTAAAATTTATTACATCATATAACTATTTAATCTTTCAAATAAACAATCAACTATTCAATCAACTGATCCACCAATTAATTAATTAATCAATTATCTACCATACACACAAAAACAAACCAGAACAAATTATCAACCTGTGGACTAAATACTCAGTCAAACATTTATTAGGAATAAGTTTCAATAAATTATCCATCCAATCAAAATAAGCCTGCCTAAATAACCCAGCCAGCAACCAATCAAAACAAAACAGTCAGCAAAACAAATCAAACAATCATCCAATGAAAATGAGCCTACCATATCAATGGCTTCCTTCATGACGTCCACATTCTTTCTCGGTGCCTCACCTGACTCATAAAATTTCAACCTCTCTTCAACTTGCTCTTTCAAACATTCACCAAAAACTCGAGTGGGGAATTCTGAAACAAAGGATTGTAAACAAATGCAAGTATTATGACAAAGTCTTAAAACTATATAGTAGTTAACTAATAAATAGAAGATCAATGAACCATATGTGTGCACATAACCATCAACCAGACATCTAACCAACCAAATACCTGAAAAGCAATCAATCCTGCTAGCAATTGTACACTTGTTAGCTAAATTTCTTGAAATCCTTCCTTTATTCTTGGCCCCAGCTCGACCAATAAAAGTAGAGTGAAAAATTAAACCATATTTTGGTGTATTTCCTCGAGTTTTCAATGCTCTGAACAGAGCTTTTTCTGCCCCTAGAATTTGGACAGTAGAGGCTGGATATTTTGCTAAATTTGTCAGACTGCCTGCATGCGATATCAATCTAGCACCGACCTTCGAAAATAAAATTTTCAACATTCAAAATTTTTATTAATTAATTTAAATTTTTATAACTTGTTATGAATTATTTTTTTTCTGTAGTAGGCATGAAGTAACGATGAAATATGAGAATTTTTGAAAATAACAAAAAGCACTCAGCCAACCTGCTCCCCGATTAGTGCCGAGAGGTTAGGAGCAACGAGGTCCATCTTATTTTTGAGATAATCATGCTGACTCTTCCTATATTCTGCCAACTTAATCACCTTCTGTGCAAATCTTTCAATGTTAATTAAATCCAACTCACTTATATCCATACCTGTCAATATGTAAATAGGTCATTTATTATGTAATTATGTAATTGGATCATGCATTAAACAATCATTTTGCTGATCATTAGCAGAATGGAATATATTAAAAACCAACCCATTGAAGTTCTAGTAGCATCCAGAATGGCCTTGACTTTCCCTTCGTCCATCACTATTTCCCCAAGGCCGTTAACTTTTTCCTGCGACAGTTGTTTGCGATTTCCAAGAAGGGAAACGACTCGGGCATACATATAGTTGTCAGGGAGGATTTTCACTAACTCTGGGAAGTGGTAACCATACCATTCCCTGTCAAGAGTTATAAATTAGAATTAGTAAACTGCTCCAAAAACAGATTTGAAAAAATTTATGCCAAGGACATAAAATTTGGAATTAATTTCAATGAAATGAAAAAAATTATTAACCTAATTCTCATAGCAAAAGTGTTTATGTTTTTATCAAGTTGATCAAGTAGATTGATGGACTGGATGATCATGTTGTCAGTACGATTTACATTAAACTTTACCTGTTGTTTGTCATTGGTTGATATTTATAGAACAGGAGTGAAAAACTTTATTTATAAATCATACCAATTCTCATCAACATAATAACATCATCTCCATTCTCATAGCTCACCTTAGCCCTTGAGTAGCTATGTCCCAATCCTAACTGAGCTTTCCCTTGTGAAATGTCCGTCAACCCTTTTATCAGCTTTGGAAAGTGCAGCCTTAAGCCTATTTAGATGGGACAAAAATATGAATTGTTTCATTTTAATGCAATCCACATTATTATTGAATATCAGTCCAAAAATGTCTTACAATTTTGACAAGACAAATGAGAAAAATTATACCTCTAATAATTTCAGGTACAATGCCGGTATGCATGCACGAGTAACCCAACTCTTCTGAAATGGAAGCAGCCAACTTGTTGTCCCCGACTCCGAGAATTGATTTGGTCTTTTTCCCCACTGACTGAGGTACGTTCGTTTCTACGAATGCTTTTAAATCAGGGTGTACAATGCCTGGAACAAAAATAAAAATAATTAGTTTATGAAAAGAAGTAAAATGAAATCTAAATCAAAACTCAGATAAACAAGGTATTTTTTAATATGTCTGTCTATTAAAGAACAACAGATAAGCATGGCAACCTTCACTAATGCTATTCATATTGTCCAAAGCATTTGCTCCACTCCTGAACGGACAGAAGGAAACGAGGGTGACGATAGCATTGAAACGACTCAAATCTAACACACTCTGTTCCACTTCTGGTTGCATCATTCCTATCTCCTCAAACTCTTTCACCCGGAACAAAGCGTAACCGGTGGCGTGCTCGTACAACACATGTAGCATTTTCGGCTGTTGAATGACAAATTGTAGTCCGATTAGGTTAGATTGATCAGGAAAAAAGGTTTTAATTTAATCATTAATTATCGCCCTACTTAAATTTGTTGATTGCAACAATCTTATCTAACAGCGAATAAATTTTGCAAATCCACGTATTGCCAAAGATTAACTTCATTTGAAACGCATAGCAAATTGAAAATTTATAAAACATCAAATCTATAAATTAAAAAACCAACCCCCATTTCAGGATCCAAGTCTCACGTGTAAGATTAGCAAAGAAAAAAAAAACAATAACAAATGGATCCAGAAAAGCAAAGAATCATAAGAGCTTGAAAAATCAACGTCACGTTAGATACTAAAAAGCATATACACTAAAAGATAATAAAAAAAATTTAATTTTTCATCAATTTCCCCTAAAGAACTTCAATCCTAACCACGGATATATAATTGTTAACGACTTACAACTGTTATAATTCTTTTAAAACATTTCAAATGAGAACAAAGTCTGACGCCATTATCAACGATTACAGTAATAAAATTAATCAGAACAAAATGATATTAACAGTGGTGAAGAAACGAGGTGGAAAAAGTACGAAACGAATAAACAAGATATAAACAAATAAATAATTAATATAAACAACAACATTTAATGAGATTACATTTTAGAAATAGTTTTACTAAGAGAGGCCAGGTATGACCTCTGGTCAGAGTTCAACTTATAACCATCGCCAATTAAACTTTCGACGGCCACCAACGACTTCTCAATATTTGAGAAAAACTTATCCACTACTTTTCTTCTTTCGTCACCGTCTTTATAATCATTACCGCCGCTATTATTATGATTATTCAGATTATTATTATTGTTATTTTTCTTATCGCTATCATTATCGAGAATATTCATTGTGACGGGAAGATGAATGACGTCATCATCAGTTTGGCATTCCTCCTGCGATGGTTATTGTGAACAAAATGTACATTCAAGACATTAAGCATTAAACCTTTCTGCCTAGCTCTCACTAAAATAGTAAATAAATAATAAAATAAATAAAATATGCATACACAATCTCGATGTTTCTATTGTTGATGTTTCTATAGTTATCATCATCTTTATCATCATTCTCATCATCCTCATCACCGTCATCATCATCATTACAATACGGTTAATTCAACGCCACTAACCGTCATCATCATCATCATCGTAGTCTTTGCACTACCACTACCACAATCATCATCGTCTCCGTGAATTTTTGCGCCATCATCGTCGTCTTCATCATCCTCATCATCTTCCTTGATAATCTCTCTCTCGTCATCACCATCTCTCAGTTTACCATCACCTTTTTTCTTCTCTTTCAAGCGTTTCATATTGAACGTAAGAACTTTTATTGGCCCATCTTCGTCGTCGTCATCAGCATCATTCTTGTTGTTCAGCTGTTAAATAATTATAACAATAATAATAACAATAATAAATTACAAACAACCTAATTAAAATCACCATTCTCGTGTAAAAATAACCATAGTAAAAATGATGATTATCATCATCATGATGGTTGTTGCAAAAGATAGTGAATATACAAGAACCTTCTTAATAAACATAACAAGCCCATCACTGCCATTAAAACCGTCCCCGCAACTGGCACCATCATCACGAACGCACTGCCTGATGAGGTCGACGTTTTTAGTCTTTCGAGCAAAATGCGCAAACGCTTCCATGGCCAGCTGTTCCGGTAGAGGATCGTAAGATGCCACCGAGCAAGTTAGGCAGGTTTTGATTAGGAATGACGTCATCGAGATTAACCGCGGTGTCTGGTGACATGGAAGAGTATATCCCAATCATCATCATCATCATCATCACAACAAAATCATCATCATCACAACAATCATAATCATTATCATTACCTTGAACTGGTATAGGGCTAAAGATCTGATAACCAATAGTACCTCACTATGTAACTTAATATGTTGTTGGAGTAATCGCGATGATGATGATGACGACGACGAAGTTGATAACGATGATGATGATGATACTCTAAGATGTGTGGCAGCCATCTTTAATATCTGATAATGATGATGACAGCAAAGGATAATGATGACGAATTCTGAATAAATAGACATACATAAATAACACATTCATACACACATACACATACATACATACACTTACATACATCATCACCATCATATACCTTCAGAACAACATCTTCATATTCATATTCTGCATTTGTAATACCAAAACTACTACTACCAGCATTACTACTACTACTACCCGCATTATTATTATTATTTCCTTCTCCAAAGATAGTAAATACTTCTGAGATAACATTAAAGATGGCCGACATTAGCCTAATTCTCATTTTATTTTGTTTTTTTGTAGACACAGATATAACTGACATAAGGTTGCATAACTGATTTAGTAAATTAGTGAAAAAAGCGATGTGCGGTTGCTGATGGGGCTGTTGTTGGTTAGTTTTGCAGCAGTAGTAGTACAAGTTGGGGACGGAATTCTTGAGAATTTTCATTTGCCTTATCTAAGAGAGAGAGGTGAGAAATGAAACATTACCAATGTATGATTATTTCATTATTATCATCGTCGTTTTCATCATCATCGTAATTATTCTTATCATCATCATCATCATTCTTATTGTTATCATCATCACTATCACCAAAATCATCATCAAAAGCGCAATGAACATAAGATATCTAGAAACCAACCAGTGCGTTCAACTGGGGTATCTTCAAAACACTTCTGACATTTTTATTATTGTTATTATTTTTATTATTATTATCGCAATTGGTCCCAATCAGAACCCATTTTTCAACTTCACTACAGAAGATCGAATAATTCCTCAAAGCCAAATCGTTCAACTCTGGCTTCAGTGGCATTTGCACGAAAGGCAGCAGAATTTCAGAATAGTTTTTCATACAAGACATCTACAATAGCAATAAAATTATTATTATAAATTTGGTAACTATAACAGTACTAACATTAATTTGTACACAACAATATATACATACAATGTGCACACATAAGTATAAACACACAGTACAGTAATGTACTGCAGGCACGCACACGCACGCACGCACGCACACACACAGTCATATATATCCTTACATAGAGGCAGACAAACAGGCAGACAGATAGACAGACAAACAGACGGACAAACAAAACAGACAGATAGACAATACCGACCTGAAAGTTGCCTGGTAAAATGCGGAACAGCCTTTTTATTAATAACCTCAAACTGACCAATTGTCTGTCATAATCATCAACCTCTTCATCAAACCCCTTTCCATCATCATCATCAACACCACAAACGCAATCATCATCATCATTTTCATTGTTATTATTATTGATGGTGAGCATTCTTTTCAATAAATCCAACAATGTAGAGAATTGCTTGCAACAAACCTCCGCTGGGCTGAATCTGTAATGTACAAACAGACACGTATGTATACACTATACATGCATACATTTATACATACAAACATACATAATATATATATATATAATACAATACATATATATATATATATATACACACACATACATACATATATGTACACCAACCTATTTATATAGCACCAAATATCCATAGCTAACATGGCATTGTATACGTGCTTATAATCTAGAACATTTCCCAACAAGATCACTTCCTATTGGGCAGTTTATTATTACTATTATTGCTGTTATTATTATTACTATTATTCGATGGAGACATCATTATCATAATCTCAGTCACCGTCTTCATCAACATAATCACTAACGAGATACTTTAGAACATTGCACTGTAAGCTGGCTATGAAAGTAACGACGGTACTCAATGAATATTCATACAGGCTCATATACCTGCATACATTAAATTGACCGCATAAATTATCTCATAAGAGAAAAAGAACTGAAAGAGAGAAGAAAGAGAGAAAGAGAGAGAGAGGAGGAAAAAATTAACTATAATTATTTCATACAATTTTACCGATTGAAGAGAAAAAAATGAAAGGTTTATAAGAAAGTTTCACCCCATTGGTCGATCAGAGTTAGGACTGTGACCCAATTTCATTGGGAAATCCATGTAGATTTGGCCTAAGAATAGAAATAATAATAAAATAACAATAAAATAATAATAACAATAAAAAAAATATTGCTATCGTTATTAATTCAATTATGTTTAGACAGACATTTTTTGAAGCGAGAAAAAAATCTAGAAATGATCCTCTCTGCTATTGGCCCGTTTGAATTCTCAGCCAGCCAATCTGGCGACGAGGAGTAGGATCTCATCATCATTAAAATTATAATCAGGCGGCCGAAGATCTCGTGACCATCTGAAATGATTTGACATCATTACTATTTCGCTATCATAAACTATCATAGCAGCAGCATTCATCCAAGTATTATTGCCATTAGTATCACCACCAGAGTCGAGTCAGTCGGAGATTTTTTGGGGCCGGAGTGAGCCGGATATTTTTCATCCGTTTCCGGAGTGTTTAGAATTCGAAATTTTATAATATTTATTAATTCAGACAATTTTGAAGATGCTGTTTCATCTAAGATAAATGCATGCATGTAGCCATTACGCAATCATTTTTAATACTGAAAATGGATGCTGATAAATGGAATAAAATCGTACAAGTATCTATAAGTATGTTCTAAAGCATGAATATAAAGCAATTTTACCGAGAAATACAACCACATTGACTGATTTGAAGTGTTTTTTTTAAAATATTTTTCACGTAGTAGGGGTGGTTGTTAAGTGAAATCAAGATGCAAAAGATGGAAAACTCTTCTGGGAGTCGAACCTGGAGTCGTGGGTCGACATTTTTTTCCAGAGTCAAAAATTATTTATTCGTTATAGACACTAATCACCATCACTATCATCGTCATCATAATCCTCACCATCATCATTATCACCACCACTTTCATCACCATCATCATCATCATGGCAGTCGGAAACATTGTTGTTGTTGCTGTTGATGATGAGGTCGGCGAATTTTGAATCCTTTCCGAGGTATGAGATCAGTGGTTCAACTGCAACTGTCACCTGCTCCCGAAATAACTTGCCATCATTTGCTCGTCCGATCAGTAAGTGGGTTGACCTGTTGTTGTTGATGACGATGATGACATTTGTGGTGATGATTACGATGATGATAGTGAAAATAATCATCCATTCATCCATCAACTATCCATTCAAGAAGCAAAAAATCTGACTCACACTATGATGGAGCTAATCAGATCAAGGACATTTTTCATCGGCTCTTTAATAGGGCCATCATCGCCATCTTCATCATCATTTTTGTTATTTTCATCGTTGTAATTATTGTTGTTACATTCAGTAATCATCATCACCAGTGACCGCATCTCGAACGATATGAACTTCACCAGCTTCCCATCAAACTGTGGTGTCTGGTCACATGCAAGAGTTTATCAATATAATTCATATATAGAACTTCATTCACTTGTATAACGTATTTCACCGGATTAAGCGCCCATTAACATATTTCACCCAAACACCACCATAAATTGTGCATAAATTAACATAACTTATCTAGGTAAAACGAATTCGCATTCTACCCAGCGGTCTAAAATATCTCCGGAGCGTCAATACCAAGGCACGAAACTCCAACACCAGCCAACGTCCAAAACATTTGCTCGAAAATTTATTAAGGCAAAAAATGGTTGAGGTGTTTTCTTGAAAAAAGGACAATAAAACAATTGAGTATGAGTGTGAATATGCTTGAGACGCGTGAGTATGTGTCTGTGTAGTACTTTTATTATTACTTGAACAAGTTATGCTTCCATTTAATTAATTAATCTTGGGGATTTGGGCTTACGGGTTGTACACCTGCGCTCATCAAATTTTTTTCTGTTATGTCAGACTGGCGGACAAAAAAATAAAAGTTTCAAATTGCGTCCTTTACAATTTTCAATTCATGTAAACAAATTTATTTCAAAATTTACAAATCTAACTTTGTTTCTGCATAAAAATCA